CAGCCTTGTGGGTGCTGGAATTACAGGTGTGCCCAACACACCTATGTCACTGAAAGAAGTAACACAAATGAGTGGCCATGGTAAACCCGCAATAATCAGCCATTGGGCTGGAGTGCTGTTCAGTGGTGGAGAGCTTGCCTAGCATGTGGGAGGCCCTCGGTTTGATCACCAGCACCACCAAAAGAGAACAGAGAAAAACAAACAACGACAGAAGATATACTCAATAGTACAGTCATTAACCTTAGTTGTAGGGTAGTGGGAAGGATGGGAAATTTTGCGGGGAAGGGGATGCTGAGGAAAGTCTTTTTTATCTGTTCTGCTTCGGAAAACATTACTAATTGGAACCTTCTAATCCAGCACCAAGAACTCCTTGCCCCAGCTGGGTGCCCCAGGAGTGCAGACCTTCTCCACTCCCAGGCTTGGGGTTTCTGTGGCTCCTGCCCTAAAATCACTGCCAATTCACACTCAGCACCCTCAGCTGGGGATGAGCAGGGGGGCAGAAAATTCAGGGGAGTCTGTGTGGGACAGGTAGAAGGAATACTGAGGTCACCTGGGAAATGTAGATTCATAGCAATGACTGGCCACATTTAGAGGTACGGGAAGATCTGAGAGACAGGATTTCAGAGAGGAGAATAATCACTCCACAGGGACCATTAGGGAAGTGATGTTTACTTTCTTTAATGTGCCTCCTCTTCTGAACAACCAGTTTCCAGGTGACCCAAGACTCCAGGCTACAAAAGCTTCTCATGAAAGAGCTCAGAAGGATAGGGTTAGACAGGAGCCCTGGACTCAGCTCTGCAACTCATGAGCAAGTTCCAACTCTCAGGTCCCTGCCTGTGTCACCAGTGGGTTATAAATCCTTACTTTGCAGATAATGGAAATCAAAACTAAAGCAACAGGCCGGGGATTTAGCTTAGTAGTGACGCCACCTGCCTTGCAAGCAAGTTTAATCCCTGATGCCAAAAAAACAAAACAAACAAACAAAACACTAAAGCGACAGTGTGAACCTACAGTAAAGGCTTTAATTGGAAAGTAAGAAAAAGGGGAAAGGGATCCAGCTTGAGCTGCTGGATGGGGCTCTCCCTGATGAAGAGGATCAGACTGGCCGCCAGCAAAGGAGCGGACACCGGTTTTATGAGGTGCTGGGCTGGGTTGGGGTCCAGAATCCTCCTGGCTTGAGAGGGTTTAATTCCCATAAAATGATTGCCTCTGTTTGTGGTGGTTTCAGTCCTGTGAGGCTCTGCTTTTTCTAGGGGACCCAGGTGACTACAGAGCTGGATCAGTGGCTGGTGACATCTAGGTGTCACTCCAAGGGGCAGGAGATGTGAGACTGAACGTTGTAAGGGCTGGCGGTTGGACATCTCTGTGAATCTTGAAAATGAGTGTCTCTTATCTTGGTGTCCTCGGTCTTGGAGGGGGTGGGATAGACGAGGCAAGTTTAGGGCTAATGAATCTTGTTCTGCTGACTTTTCCTAAATGATGACACATATACATCCAGTTCTCAGGTAATAATGGATACAAAATGAAGTCATGCTTGTTTTACTCACAGGTACCTACTCACAGGCTCAAAGGGAGTCCCTCGCTGTCTCAGAAGAAAATACAAATCATGCTATTTATTACTTATTTATTTATTTTCAGACTGGGTCTCACGATGTAGTCCAGGCTGGCTGAGTTCTGGGGTTACAGGTGTGCACCGTGCTTGGCACAAATCATACTTCTAATGAATAAGAAATTAAAGGCCCAGGAGTTTACTTGTCCTTTGTCCCTACGGTAGCCTCTGACCGTGCCATGTGCCTGTAAAGTCTGGGTGTTTAGGAAGTTAGTGGAGGCTCCCAATCTCTCTTGCAGGTGCCAAGTCCAGGCTTTTTTGCATTGCAGTCCCTGCCCTGACCCGGGGCTGCACACCTGTGCACCTGGGGGAGAGGCCACAGCAGGAGTCACCTGCCTCTGTGAACCAACAGGATGCTACTGGTGCAGCTGTCTTTACCCAGTGTGGACCAGTTTCGAGTATTTCCTGTTTCTCTGAGAGCTGACAGACTGAGTCCCAGGGTACCTTCACAGGCCCCAAAATGTGCCTCTGGCTACTGCTGTGGGTTCCTTTGAGGGATGGGCAGGATCCGGGCCACTTACCTGCCACTCATTGTCTGGGCTGGTGGAAGGAGGAGCTCAGGGGACCCTGAGCATCCTGGTGCCCAGGGCAGCACCTGGCTCAGGTCTCAGTGAGCTCCGGCTCCACCACAGGGGAGGAACATGCGAGGAGCTTACTAAATCCACCCACCTGGGATCTTCCTGGGAGCCCAGGACGGAGGGTGGCGTTTGTGAAGGCCCCTTCCAAACAGGTGGGAAGAGGCATGTAAGGAGAGGAGGCGAGGACCTGAAATAGCTCTCTGGCACATCACTAGTGTAGCAGTCAGGTGTTACACACACACACACACACACACACACACACACACACACACGTATGTGTGCACAGTGGATAATTCAGAGAGTTTGGTAAAGGGACTGTCATAAGGAGTGTGGCAAAGCCACAGGAGCTGCTGCGGGACCCGGATGTCAATGAGAGTCCCTGAACCATGACGCCAGGCCGGGTGAACCTGAAAGCAGTAAGGCCAAGAGATGGACACAGAGAGCCATGTGCCACCCTCAGGGGATCTGCAGCCACCCCGGAAGAGCCCACAGGGAGTGGAGAGACTAAGCCCGACCTCACGTCTGCTCTCCAGCCATCTACTCAGGAGTTTCCCACACACTGGGCACAACTGAAGGGACAGGCACAGGGTACAGAAAGCTAATGCTTAACTGGTTTTAATTTTGAAGTTGAAAGATAATTGTACAAAGATAGCTGCATCCAGATGTCCCGTGAGTCAAAAATTGTCATCCTAAAATGTCCTGTGTCTCTGGGCCTATTCGTGGAGGCCAGGCTCTCTTCTGTCAGGGTCCGGGCCGGCTGTCCCAGCCATGTAACCTCTGTCTGCTGTCCAGGAAGTCCCTCAAGGAGGTGCAGAGTGAGGCTCTGACCCTGCTCAACGACTCTGTCCCTGTCCCTACTCTTTGTAGAGCTCCACCTGAAGGAAAGCATCGACAGGTTCAAATTACTTTAAAATGATGATAAAAAGACTTCTCATCCCAACATGATCAATATTAAAGGAGTTTTATTTCTAGAAAATTAAATAAGCCCCCTATAATTGCACATAGTAAGCAACGTTCACTTTTGTTTTTAAAGCAAAAGAATGAGGAAGGTGGATTGAGGATACCTGAACCCATGTCCAGAGCACAGCATTAGGGACTGATCTTATTTTCTGCCTATAAGGAGTTGAAGAAAAGCCAATTTATGGGATACCTCCTAGCTGTGTGATCCTGGATAAGTCTCTTAACCTCTCTGTTTCTCCATCTTCTCTTTTGTAAGATGGCAATAGTCATACTATCTCTCAGGGTATTGTGGAGTTAAATGAGTTTGTCTTTGGAAAGTCCATGAGCCATGACTGGTGCATGGGAGGGTGGTGTTTAAATATTACCCCAAGGTCAGCCTAGCAAGGGAGGCTCACTGCTTTCTGAAGAAGTCTGCAGCTGCTGGAGACAAAAACTGTGCCTTCTCCTCAGTGTCCATGGCCAGCCTGCCCTTGTGTGGGGCTGTGGGTCTCCTAGTCTTCATTCCCTGAGCAGGGATGTCCCCAGAACCAGGGACCTGCCTCCTCCAGCCCAAATGCCAGACACCTAGACTGGCCCTGTGGCACTTGGTGTAAAAAAGTAGATTTTAGTGAGATTCAGAAGATACTCAGTGCTGGGCATGGTGGTGCATACCCATCATCCCAGCACTCTGGGGGGCTGAGGCAGGAGGATTGCAAATTTGAGTCCAGACAGGGCAACAGAAGACCTTGTCTCAAAATAAAAAATGAAAAAGGGCTAGAGGTGTACCTCAGTGCAGAGGCTTGAGGTTCAAACCCCAGCCCCCTACACACACACACATAAGATCACAGGCAAGAGAAAAAGTGTAGCTGGTAGAATAGTTTTTTGCTTAATATCCCCAAGGCCCAAGATTGATCCCCAGCACTGGGAGAAAAGAAATCATGCACAGAAAAGCACTAAGTTCTTCCTAGACGGAAAGTCACAGTACAGAATCCTTACTGTATCTGTGAAGCAAGCTGCATTCTCTCCGCGCTCAGCCGGGAGTGGAATGGACTAGAATAAATCAACCACAGCCCTGAGCAAGGCCCCCAGGGAGCGCCTGGGCCTGCAGAGTCCCTGTCCCAACTCCACACCTTCTGCCCGCTGTGGGAGGAGGGGACCATCAGTCCCAGTGAGCCCTGGGACTGCAGAGGGCAGGGGACAAGTCCTGTCCCAGGGGGATCCTGGGTTCCAGGAAACTCATGGATCTGAATCCAGCTGCTTCTCCTGGGAGAGATGGCTTCACGTGGGGCTGGAAGGGTCGAGGGTGAGGTGGCTGGATGCGAATCAACTGCTCCCTTCGCAAACCCAAAGCCTCGAGGTACAGCAGCCGGATGTAGGGGAAAGTGCCAAGGGAGACAAAGGGCCCCAGAGCACAGCACCTCTGACAGGGGGAAGATAAAAATAGAAGCAGAGCCATCTCCACCCCCACCCTGGCCGAGAGCGCTGTGTGACAGCCACGCTGAATGACACAGAAAAGCCCATGCAAATCACACACAGTGCGCGAATGCCAAGCGTGCAGGGCCTAGGCCAGCTGGGCACATAGTAGGTGCTCAGTCAATGCTGCTGCTGCGCACACATGCACGTGTTCAGTGAGGGCAGGGTGGACAGAGTTGTGTCGGTGGTCTGCCCTCCGCACTACTCAGATGAATCATGAGGAACCCAGTCTCCTCCTGCAGCCACACATTTGCATGGAGCGAGAGGGGCTGGATGCCGGGGAAGGACGGGGAAAAACAGGGTTAAGCCTGAGGGTTGGTGCCAACCCAGGGCTTGCATCAGAGCAGAGAGAACAGGGCGTGTACAGGGCACTTGGTGCCAGCCCCACGCCAGGCCCTTGGCATCTACTCTGTGAATCCTCACCTCAGCCCTGTCAGTAGGGTTTCAACACCTGTTTTACAGATGAGAAAACTGAGGCACAGGGTATTTAATTGGGGGAGAGGTACTGGAGATGGAACCGGGGCCTTTGCACTGAATCAAACCCCCAGTTCTGATTACTTGATTGATTTTTTTGAGACAGAGTCTCGATGTGTATTTCAGGCTGGATTTGAACTCACTGTGTAGCCCAGGCTGGCCTTGAACTTGCAGTTATTCTCCTGCCTTAGCTTCCTGAGCACTGAGATGACAGATGTGTACCACCACGACACCTGGCCTAATTTAGTTTTTCTTCTTTCTTTTTTAGAGACAGCGCCTCACTGTGTTACCTAGGCTGCGCTAAGAGCCTGGGCTCAAGCAGTCCTCCTGCCTCACCCTCCTGAGTGGCTGTGACTACGGACAGGCATGTGTGAGCCCAGTAAGTATCAGTGTCCAGAATCTAGCTAGCTGAGAGGCCCAGCCCTTCTGACGGAGGGTCCCTTGGTGTGCTGCTCAGTGTGGATTCTGAGTGGGAGCTGCAGCCGCTGGAACTGTGTGGCTCAAGGCCAGCTTGGTGAGCATGCAGCTCTGCCGCAGACGGTCAGTGCCACACCACCAGCCCTCTCCCCTCGTCCTCAGCCTCCAAAGCCTTCCCAGCAGCTGCTCTTGGAAAAGCCCCTGCCTCTGCCATGGCCATGGAGTGCTGTGTAACTTCCTTTGTGGGTCAATCCACCGCCGAGGGCTGTGACAGAGCCATGACTCAGCCCTCGGCCTGACACCGACAAGCCAGCAGCCACCTGGCGTCCAGCTGGCCCGGGGGCTGAGGAACGGCACGAGGAGATGGGCTGGGGATGCCAGGTAGATGTCCCTGTGGGGCCTGTGACTGTGACTGGGGAGACTCAGGGCCGAGACTGACCCTTGTCCAGCCACTGTGCCCATCAGCAGCTGCAGGCCTCCAGCTCAGGAATCGCACCATCAGCAGGCTGACGGAAAGGGGTCGGATGCACCCACTCCCAAGTGGGAACGCTTTCCCCACCTCTGACCCACAGGGAGACCTGCTGGAGAGTTTGCTCCTCCTAGAGAAACGGTGCAGAAGTCATTAAAACCACACAACCACCGCAGGTCACCTCGCGCAGCCTTCAAGGAATGTGCCACGTTCAGATGGGGCTCTGAAAGGTAGGAGCTGACCGAGGCAGTTAAGAAACCAGAAGCCTGAGCTTGGGCTCCTTGTTCTGAGTTGACAGCTGCTCGCCCAGAGCCCCTCAGGGTGGGGAGGCCAAGGTGCCAGTCATACTTCTGGGCAATCTGAGGTCACATGATCTTGTGTCATCCGAGATGTGACTCAGCCGTGCTTGCCAGAGCTCATTTCCAAAGGGGCGAAACTGCTCCTTGGGCGCTTTTCGGGGGAGGCTCCCCACCTCCTGCAGGGACAGGGGCTTCCCCAGGAGTACAGGTGGAGACAGAAGGAGGAAGGTCAGTTCTGTCCCCAGCCCGAACATGGCCTTAGAAGTGTCGCTGAGGGACTCAATGATGAATATGTAGCAAAGCTGCTACAAAGCCCCCCAGCCTGCCGCTTTGGTCCCACTCCTCAGGCTGGAGGGTGACGCTGGTGGCCTGAGAAGGAGCTGGATCTCCACAGAGTAAGTGACGGTCAGCTGGGGGCAGAGCACCCCCTGAACCCCATGGACCTCTCAGTCCCTCAGGAAGGTGGGCACAATCCCTGTTTGAAGGAATAGGGCCACTTGATGTCTTGGGTTTTTCTGGACTTACAAAGCGCTGCTTTTGTTGAGACTCTGGAAACCCTCTCTCTCTTTTTTTTGCCTTGAGATAGTGTCTTTCTATGTAGTCCAGCCCAGTCTCCAATATTTCTGCCTCAGCCTCCTGAGCTACCATGCCTGGCGAGTATTTCTGTTATTGTGCTGTTGTCACGCTCCTTAAAGAAAAGCTTTGTGACCGATGCTTTGAGCATCACCAAGCTGGGAGGATGAGCAGCCACTCACGGACCTCAGTCAGGCTTTGGTCAGGCTGTGCCCACAGAGTGGGTGGGACAGCCACACACACTGCAGCCTTCACCAGTCCCAGCACCTCCTCCCTGGCCAGAAACTGGATCTAGGACTGGGTCCCACAGCTGGGTCAGTTGCCACCATTGTTATTTCTGACCACAGAGAGAGGGAGGGACCGAGGCACCTGGCTTGGGTTGGCTTACTTTATTTCCTTTTCTCATCCCTTTTTCTTTGTCTGTCTTCTCCTTAATCGAATTGCCTAAGGTCAGCCTGGCAGGTGGGGACCGGAACTCAGCCAAGATGTGGCAGTGGAGAAAGAGACTTCGACTGCCACTCTCACCACAGGCAGGTCACATGACCTCCTGGATATGGGGTGTCTGAGGGCCCCCTAGGAGGTACTAGAGGCACGAGAGAAGAGAGGCCAAGGGAGGACACCAAAGGTTGAGTCGCCAGGGGAAGAGGTGCTCAGAACATCAACAGTTCAGTCAGGCTGGTCATGAGGAAGGCTCTGGGACCCACCAAGAGAGTCCGAGTGAGCTGTTCCCTGGAACAGGATGTCCCTGGGGCAGGATTTCCCACTCACTGGGGTCTTCCACAGACATGCGTTTATGCCGTTCTCTGGCCATAAAGGAAAATCCTTGTGGCAAAACCTCAAAAACTGTTGTCTCTTAGGAGGAAACCAGGACCACATTTTCCTACAAGACACCGAAAGGATTGTGATTACTCAGAACTCCCTCTCGACATTCTTGTGAACTTTTAAGAAATTCCTGGTGCCTTCTGTTCCTTTCGGAGCTGGAAGGCAAGTATGTGCTGAGTCACACAGAGACAAGGTCTCATAGCAACTGCACAAACCTTGCATAACTGTGAGTGTGTGTGTGTGTGTGTGTGTGTGTGTGTGATTTTGATAAGGAAAGGAAATGCAAATAAAGAAGGAATAACTTCTGGTAAACTTAAGTCTAAAAGATGACCTCCTACTCGCTGTCCCTCTCATCTCCTTGAAATCTCTCTTCTCAAAATCTCTTTTGGAGCTTGTTTTCCAGAGCAGCTGGCACATGTGCTTCTGTGTGAACCTCTGCTCTGGGGCTCACGATGACCCTAAGCCAAGAGATGGCTTTAGGGACTCTCCAAGCAAAAAGGGGCCCCTGAACACCAGCCTATTTCCAATTCGAAATGAAACTCCAGTCATGAAAGCGAACTAGCCAGTCCTGGCAAATACTGAAGACTCTGACGATCTGTGAGGCCTGTGCCCTCCATGCCATGGACACAGAAAGCGCCCGTCGGTGCCTCTAACTCTGGAGGTCTGTGGGAGGCTAGATGGGTCCACGAGTCCTCTGCGCCCTGCTAAGTCCTGATCCAATAGGGCATCTGCTCACGTTTGTGCCTCTGTTAGGGGCTGAGAATTCTGGAAAATGAGTCTTCCCAGGTTTCCTTGCCTGGGTGAATGTGGTTGGCAGGTAGATATCTGTCTCTATTGCTCAAGAATGACCTGTTTTTCTAAAAAAAAAAAAAAAAAAAAAAGGAGGAAAGAAAGGAAGAAAAGAAAGAAGGAAGAAGGAAGGGAGGGAGAGAAAGAAGAAAAAAGAAATAAGACATAAAAGTCCTAGATCCACCAGGTGTGGCAGTGCACACCTGTGATTCTATATGCTGAGCGGCTGAGGCAGGAAGGTCACAAATTTGAGACTAGCCTGTACAATTTAGCAAGACTCTGTTTCAAAATTTGAAAGGGCTGGGAATATAGCTCAGGGTAGAGCATTTATCAAGCATGTTTGAGGTCCTGAGTTCAAAACCCAGTATCAACCAACAAGCAAAATAAAAATCCTAGATTGTGATGTTACTAGAGTAGCTGCTGCCTACGTATTGCGATTGAGCGCTTGACTTTTTTTTCTTTTTGTGATACAAGAGATGAGACGCACTCTGTCATCAAGCTACACCCCGGCCCACTCTTGAGCTCTTGAAAGGTGAGTGGTCTGAAGTGAGGTATGGTATTAATATAAACTGTACATGGGATTTCAAAGACTTAGTTATAAAAGGAATGTGACGTTAACAAAAATAACATTTATCAATTATATGTTCAAAAGATTATGTTTTGGCATTTTGAGGAAATGAAATAGATGAAAATTAATTTCATTTTTTAAAGGTGGCTGCTAGAACACTGACAACTCCCTCTGTGGCCGGATCCTATCTCCAAGGCAGGTGTCCTGCATGGTGGCTTCCTGTGCCTGCTGTGACCCAAGCCCCGGTCCCCGTCTGTCTCCCACCAAATCCCAGCGCCCTTTCACTAAGTGGGCACAGAAGTGAACTAGCCCAGGTGTGTGATTCTTGGGTTCTCCAGTTATGATCTAAGCAGCTCCCTGAAAATCTTTATTGTTTTTTATTTGTTTGTTTGTTTGGTTTGTTTTTTTCGAGACAGGGTCTCCTTATGTAGTTGAGACTGACCTGGAACTCACTATGTAGACCAGGCTGGTTTTGAACTCACAGCGATCCTCCTGCCTCAGCCTCCCGAGTGCTGGGATTATAGGCAAAACCTTTGTTGCTTTGTAAGTAAATATTTTCTGAGAGCTGCCTAACCTTTTCAAATCCTGCATTTCATGTAAAGACACAGAAACTCCCTGCACTTGGGGACATAGCTGGTAGGTGGCTATGTGGTCATTATGGACAGTTGGGACAGCATGTGTGAGTCCTTGGAAGGTTTGGTTAGGTCACAGCCTGGACAAGACCATGTTCAAGTTGGACGCCACGTTCACTGTTTGCTTTTGGATTTTGGTACCGAGGATAAAACTTGGGATCTTGCACTTTTGAGGCAGGTGGCAGCACCACTGAACTAAATCCACTGCCCCAGGTTCAGTGTAAGTGGTACATTGCAGGAACATCACAGAACGTCCCTCCAGAGCATGCAGTGAGCAGCCCCTGTGTCTGGGAGGGAATGAGGAGTGAGTTCAATTCACTGCCGCAGGCCCCAGAGCAGGAGGCCAACTTGGTCTTTAACACAGGAAGGAAAAGGTCCAAATGCTCAGTCACCCAGGCGCGATACATTTACATAGCTGTAATTACAACGCAGCACAAGGTTTACTTTATATTACACTTCTTTCTCATCAGCGTTTTCATATTCCTGTGTAGTCCTTATATCATCACCCTTTTACATAGTTGAATAATATTTAATAATAATTGTGCCGTCTTCTAACTTTTCTTTTTAGAACATTTAGTTTCCGGTTTTGCACATTGAAATAAGATAGCAGAAACATGGAATTTGCTTTCCTTTTCTATCTTTCCTTTTGAATTTGTACTTTCCTTAAGATAAATTCTCAGAAGTAAACTCCTGCTCTAAAGGGTTTGAAGGCTTTTCTCGGTCTTGAGAGATCTTGCCAAAGCTCTATCAAAAAGGAGTGTGGGAACTTACGTTGCTCACAGCGGTGAGGGCCTTTGCCAGGACTGCGGTGTTATACGTGTGTACACATATGTGCACGTTTAAACGCTCTGTAAATGGTGAGTTGTGTTTATTTTAGTCTTTGGGGCTAAGGATCAGACTCAGGGTGTCCAGCATGATAGGCACATGCTCTACACTGAGCGCACCCCAGCCTTTCACCTGCAATGGGAAAAAAAGTTATGCCTAATTTCTATCAATGGAAAGAGAAAAGACTGGATTTTATAAAAAAAATTACAAACATCCATGAAGTGCTCAGTGGAATCTGTTGTTAAAGGAGCCCAGCAGTCTGTGGGTTTCCAAAGCACCAAAGTGATGCAAGCAGCTTTCCTGGTCCCAGGCCTGGCTGATGTTGCTCCCAGGACCTCCCCTCTGGCACTGCCCAGAACCACCGGTGGGTCCTAAACACACCAATCCACCCTCGGGGGTCACAGGCCCCTCGTGCCGCTGTAGACCTCGTCTTAGACCGGATGGGCTCCTCCTCTGTGGACAGTGACAGTGGCCACTCAGAGGGCTTCAGTAAAGCTGGATGTGATTTCCTGTCGGGCTGGTGTCCATCAGAAGGGCTCGCTGTTGCTGAGAGGGGCCCTGTGTGCCTGCTCAGCCTGGATCCCATACCAGAATGGGACTCTCCATCCATGGCAGATGGGTACCTGGGCACTGTGCCCATTCACCGTAGGAGGGAAGAAATCTCCACCCAAGCCCACGGGCCTACTTGGGCAGTAAGTTTGTGCCAGTAACGATAACCACAGCACTTGTATGAGCCAGGCCAAGCATTTTGCTTGTATCAGTTTATATAGAATTCAATTCAATTTATAAAATTATATAAGACCAAACCTTTTAGTCTTACTTTTATAGCAAAAAAATCGAAGTCACCTTGAGGAATTGTCTTTTGCTTGCACACCTAGTAACCAATGAAACCAGTATGCATGCTGACGGCACAAAATAGTACATTAATACATGCTCCTAGTTTTCAAAAGATAAAATTAAAAATCCTACACAAGCCAGGCCTAGTGGTACAGGCCTATAATCCTAGCACTCTGTGAGGCTGAGGCAGGAGGACTGCAAGTTTGAGGCCAGCCTGGGAGACTTAGTGACTTAGTGAGACCCTGTTTCAAAATTCAAAATTAAAAATTAAAAAAAAGAAGCCAGGGGTGGTGATTCACATCTGTAATCCCAGTACCCTGGAAGCTAAAGCAGGAGGATCGCCAAATTCAAGGCCAGCCTGGGTCACATAGTTCAGTACCCTGTCTCTAAAAACAAACAAACAAATAACTTCAACAACAATTCTTAAAGGGGTGGGAGATGTAGCTCAGAGCAAAGGCCCTGGTGTCAATCCCCACTACTGTAAAATAAAAATCCAACACAGAATGTGTACAGTAAAACTTATAATACCTCTTTATTATTCCTTTTCAAGTCTCCTTTCCTCCACAGAGGTAACCACTCCTCACTGAGTATTTACACCCCTTCCCACCTGTCTCTGAGGTTGATACAATCTTAGGAGCTGAGAGGACTTTCAATTCAAAACGCACATGCTTCTGCCCGGGGTGCAGCTTGGTGACAAAGAGCAAGGTCCTGAGTTTCATCCCCAGCACACACACATATAATGATACTACAAGAGTAAATGTTATACTTTTGACTTGCTATCACCGCTTGTCAAAATGTCTTAGAGCTGAGGGCTGGGGAGTTCAATCCCCGGTACCAAAACCAAAACAAAAACAAAAACAAAAATTTTAGAGCTGAGCCTGGGGGCACTCGCCTATAATCCCGACTCTCTGGGAGGCTGAGGCAGGAGGATTACAAGTTCAAACTCAACCTGGGCAATTCAGTGACTTAACAAGATTCTCTCAAAATAAGTAAGAAAAGGGAGGTTAGGAATTCAGGACCTGAGTTCAATCCCCAATATTATACACGTGTACACGCACACATGCACACTCACACGCACATGCACTCACACACACAGATTGTTTCAAGTCAATGTATGTACATCTATTTACTTTTTTTTTTTTTTGGTACTGGGTGTAACTTAGGTCCTTGCACTTGCAAGGCAGGCAGCAGCACCACTCAGCTAAATCCCTGACCCCTTTATCTGCCTTTTAAGGACTCCAGAGTATGAATGTGCTGTAAGTTATTTATCTGGCTCATATCTGATGATCACTGGAGTTGCTTCTAATATTTTGCTAAACAGTGCTGTGGTGAGCTTCCCTGTATGAGCCTGTGCGAAATGTCAGATGATGCAGTCCCAAAGTGAGACTGCCAGGCCCAGTTGTATCCCCTTTCACATGTCAATGTCACCTAGTTGTTCTCCAAAAAAAGATTGGGCTCATTTTTATTGCCCCCAGCAGGGCCTGGGAGCACCTGTTC